AGGTTATTAAAAATTAGGGAAGAAACTACTAAGAGGGAAATTAGAGGGAACCTATAATAATAATATACTTTAACCTACGCTTAGGTATATAAAATTACTATAAGTAATAGGTATAGTAGAAGCGTTTATAGGAGCGTTCTTATAATATTTAATTTTAATATTAATATTTTTAATACTTATTCTAATTAGGTAAATAACGGATTCGCTAATTCTATTTTCGGCCTTAAGTATAGCCGGATCCGTCGATAGTCCGGCCGAAATTTCTCCTTCGATATTTATTTTATTAAAAGTATTAAATAATTTACTAGGAATAGTAAAATTACTAAATAAATAGTCTTTTATTATAATATTAGAATTACTTTTTTTAGTATTAAATATAGAGGTATCGGATTTAGTATTAATTTATACTTTAATTTTCTATAATATTAATTCAATAATATAATAATAATATCTATTATTAGAAAATTTAGGAATACGTATTTCGAATATCCTTATTATAGTAGAAGATAATAATATTTAGTATTTTATTTAAGTACGTAACGAAAGTAAGGAAATAATTAGACTAATTTAGGATTTAATCCTTTAAGTAATTTAGTAGTCCTCCTTAATATTCCTAATATAAAATTGGACCCTTAATATAAATTAAATTATTAATTTATAAATTAGGCGTACGACCTTTAATATAATATTAATAAAAGATTAAAATATTGGAACTAACGTTAAATTCTTCTATACGGTTATAATTAGTAATACCCGGGATATTACTAGTAACTCTTAGCGTAGTACTAAATTTATTTCCTCTTTAAAATTAAAAGTATCGAAGAATACTCTATAAATAATTCTTATAGTACTTAACCGACTTTAAATATATATAAAATCTTCTAAATACCCTCCGACGGATTTACTAATTCGTATAAGATCGATTCGTAATTATTCTATATTAGTAAAGTAAATTAAACTATTAGAGGGTAAAAGGCTCGCTCCTATCTACGTCTATTCCTCTTTTTCTTTACTTTTAATATTTTAAGCCTAGTATTATACTATAGTATTAAAAATAACCTCTATAGTATATTATTTAATTATTTAAATTAAATAAGAGGATTTAATTTGGTATAGGGTTAATACCATCTCCTTTATACTCGTCCTAGCCGCTTCGTCTCTTATTCTTTAAATTATAAGAATTCTATTAATTTATATATTAATAACAAATTCATTATACTTCGTAATAATAGAATAAAAATACTTCTTAGGTATTTCATAGTCGATCGTCTAGTAGGAAAAATAAATAGATTTATCGCCGTTATTAAAAGGTTCGTTTTTAATAATATATTTAATATAGTTATTAGGTTGGTACTAAATTCTTCTATAGTAATCGAAAGTTTTAATATTATAATTATCGATATTCGCCTATATAGGGTATTTAGAATACCGTTCGTACAATTTATAGAGACTATCGGCCCTCTTAGTATTAGTTTCTATTTAAATAGACGCTATTTTAATTTACTATTATAGGATATAATTCCGGGGGGACGAAGAGATATTATATAAGTAGAAGATAATTTATAAGTAATAATAAAAAGGTAAAAAGATTAATTCGATTCTAAAGCTATAAAAACCACTTATTATAATATTATAGAGAATTGAAACTATAGTTACTATATTATCTAATAATAGATTCGTTACTAATAGATTCGTTTCGAGAGAAGAATCCGGTAGGTAATAAATTCGTTAAAGGGATTAATACGTAGCGGATTCGTTATTAAGTAACGGATTCGTTTTAAAGAACCACGGTCAATCGTAATTTAGGACTTGTATTAATGAATAGTATTATTGAGCAAGAACTTTTGGTTGTAGATAATAATTGATTAAAGGAAGCATCCGTCTCGAAGGAGACGGATCCGTCTTTAATTATTTCAACTACCTAGAGCTATATCGGTGCCCAGCTATACCGGTTACGGTATAGCTAAGCGCTAGTATACTCCAGCCCAGTTGCTAACCGTACTGTAATAGAGGAGAACTAGTAACGAACTAGTGGTCGTAGTAGGTATAGGAGGATTCAATATATTAGAGGCAATCGAATTATCGAAAGTATTGTATATTTAAAAAAGAAGAAGGGTAGGAATTACTAGACTAACTACTAATTAATTTAACTAATTTAATAATTGAATCGCTTGATTTGATAATAAATTTAATAGAACCGATAATTAATTCGATAGAGGAATCGATAACTAATTCAATAGACTCGTCGTATAATAAATATTAGCGAGAATCTTTATATAGCAAGGCTAGCTTACAGGCGAATTAGCGAATCGTTAAGGACGAAAGTCGCGATAACTTATTAACCCGGTACTATAGCGCCTTAATAAAAACGAAACTAGCAATACACTTAAAAATACGCTCGTTAAATGCAATTATAGGGAAGGTTAGAAAGAGGGCTTATAACCTGTAAAATTGCTAACGAGATTAAGCGGTTGGATACGATTAATTGAATGTATACTATCGAAAAGAGGAGAGAGAGGGAGACTAGCGGAGTCTGGAAGGCTAGATGTGGTGCGGTCTGGGCAGGGCACAGAGTGGGGACTGGGCTGTGCCCAGTGAATGCCAGAGACCCACCAACAAGGGAACTAAATCAAAACAACGTTCGAGCAGAACAGCCTTCTGTGGAAGCTAGCTGTAGCTAGCTCCAGGCACAACAAGCACACACGCCCCCGCAGACAAACAATGGACTTTACCGTACGCACTATGTATACTTGTCTTAGAATTACAAACCTAACCAGGTCGGCCAAAACCCCCCAGAACGAACATCGACCGTGGAGAAAGAGGGGAAACAAGATGGAAAAAGGAAATCCAGACAAGCAAGCGAGCACGAAAAGGCGACAAGAAGCAAAAGGATGTCTTACCTCGGATGTAGTCCGAGCGAAGCGAAGTAAGACATTAGTGTACATCGACATTCGTGCTGGGCCCGACTGGGGGGCACTGGGCGAAAACAAGGGTCCAGGTGTCTTTTGAAAAATTGTTCTATAGGATAAAGTTTTCACTGCGTGGTTGTGCACCATGTGGTTCAAAAGCTCCACGTTCGGGACCGAAAGGGTGATTTGACTAGTCCGGAGTCCATGCACAGCACTCACTCCCTCGGTCCACCCTGCGGGGAGCTTATGCTCCGGAATATCCCCGAGATATTGTCCATAGTGATTCGCAGTCACCGGCCTCCATGTGTCATGGAGCTGGCTGAACGTTTGGTGAAACAAAGGGGATGGGGATGGAGATGAAAAATCAAGAGCAGAAGTCTGAAAATACGCAGCCAGGCCAGTCAGTGTAAGGGAGTGAAAGAGCGAGGAGCAAGTGAGCGAGTCTGTTCTCAAGACAAAAGCTATTCGCCTCAGACATTGGGGTTTTGCTGTTCCAGAAGCGGGAGAGACAAGAAGTGAGTCCATTGGAGCTCTTGTCAGCGGCCAGCTAGCTGCTGTGGTGCAACCACATTGAAGTCTTTCAAGGGTATGTAGGTCGAGAAAAAGGAATATGTGCTGCAGCCACTATCAATCACCGAGGCCCTTCGGGGCCTCTGAGAGTCTCCCTGGAAAAAGTGAGCCCCTAATGGGTGCAGCAGATTCGTACTGCCGCTCCGCCGATCAAATTGCGTATGGACCGAACTCTGGACGGGGAAAAAGACCATTCGGGTTTCATGGCGAAGGGGACGGAGCAGCTCCATGTCGGGTGTTCTTGGCGGGAATGGGTGCGTAACGTCGGTGTCGAGTACGGCTGTCATTGTTGCATGTTCGGGGGCGGTTGGTTGGCGGCAGTGTGATGATATTCAGGCGTGTTTGGAGTGTGCTAAGCCATATTCCCTTTCCATTAGGTGTCTGAAAGCAATCCCCATCTCTTGGTAGACATTGGCGGCCCTTCTTTCAACTTTTTAAGATTATCTTTCGTGTCCGAGCACAGCACGGCGACTAACCGGATGATGGCGTTGTCGTTTCCAGCAGATACAATTGGTCCCTGGCTGTTGTTTGGTCCACAAACAATGGAGGGAAATGCCAGTACCCAGTTCCACGGCACCGGCACTTTAGTCCTGACGAAGGGCACCATTGAAAGAGGCCGGGCTCCGCTCCGATCGGGCTTCATTTTAAGAGAGATCCCATTCCCAGTGAAGGGTCGCATCGAAGATCAGAAAGCCATTCCACCGATCTTCAACCATACATAGTGAAAGCTTTCTCGGGTCGGTCGTTGCTACGGCGTGGTTGGAGTCACCGAAGACTTCCACTTCGCCGCAGCGCTGCCGTTCGTAACAGTGACAAACGACGTCGGGAGTAAATTCTCGAGGACTGCTCGTACCTGACTTGTCGACTTTTTCTGGGAACAATTCGATTTTCTCCGCTCTCATGTGCGCAATCATAACAGATGCATGTCATAATCAAAACGAAAAAAAAAGAGACTGTGCGTAAAACCTTAAGAGCGGACTTCGAGAGCCAAGCCGGCCGTGTGTCCCGAATCCCGCCAATCACGAAGTCGCCAGACAGCCTCATTACGGCGATACTTTCCCTTTGTAGCTTAATAGCCCAGTGTCGATATTCCCGATGTTTATTGCTTTTGATCGAGGAGGGCGTAGTAAAAAGCTGGTCCTTGGATGGTCCGCGACAATGGTTGGTTTGTGGAGGAAAATCTTGACGCCCTAAACCCATTTGTTCCTGATTCGTAACGCCTCCTTCGCCAGCTCGCGCGTCGAAAAGACACTGATACCAAATGATACTGCTTCGTTGAATGCGCCACGCATGCTGTTATCGCCATGTGGTGTACTGTCAACAGCATTGGAAGCCCTCTTGCCCTGACTTCGAGAGGGGTTCAGGTCTCAAAAAAAAGCAATGGATTCAGGCCTAGCAGGCCAACTAGGGGCTGATAGCTTGGATAGTTTTACGCCATGTTCTTGTTTTTCTCGTACCTGTTTGTCAGTTTCGACATCCCGCTTCCGCCCACCCTGGAGTGCCTGGTACCCATGTATGGATGATGCCCGATCAAGATCGGAGTTAACGAAGGTGATCTCTAGTTAGGATTTGCTCCAGGAACAAGACGATACTATATAAACGATTAGCCTCTCCTTCTCTTTCGTTTTGCCTTACCCCTTCATGTTATCGCTTGGAGATTTGTAGCACGACATATTGGCACCCTATCGCCTCGAAACCCCAAACCCAGTGGCGAGTGTTCTTCCATCAACAGCAGTCCAACCTCCCATCACGATGGGTCTCCTACCCCTCACATACCGACGTCCAGCTTACGTCGACAAGAACAACATCTCACTGAGTGATGAGCCCAGCACCGGCCAGAACACCATCGGCAACTCCCCTGCCAGAAACAGTGAAGCAGGATCCGAGAAGACAGAGCCAAGCCTGAGGCCAGTCAACTCGGGTAGCATCGCAGGAATCCCAACAGCATTGAGCTTCGATAAAATTATCGAGGGGGGAACATGTCCAGTCAGTGCTTGATCCTGCCTCACATGAAGACAGACCAGTGGCTGACTAGCCGTATGTAGCCATGTACCGTCCGTGACTTTATGAACTACCTGATATACGTGGAGCGGTCAGCGGAGAACTTGCAATTCTTTCTGTGGTATCGTGACTACATGAAGCGCTTCGAGCAAGCCAAAACGTGGGACCTTGCTCTTGCTCCAGAATGGACACCGGCCATGGAGGAGGAAGCCATTCACAAAATTCAGAAAGAGCAGGCTGAGAAGGCCCGCAAAAAGCCGAACTGCAAAACAGGAGACGTGACTGTCGAGATATTCAAGGGTACTGATTTCGAAAAGGGGTCGACCCCAGTCTTGTCCAGTCCAAGAGGCCGAAGTACATCAGACTTACCCGAGGGCACGCGGACAGGCAGCAACGACCCGTTCGGAACGCCGCCGGACACTCCACGTGGCTACCACCAGGAGACCTTTTCCTCCGAGTATAACGGGTCCAGTATGGCGACGACGTACCGCACGCAAGCGAGCGATGCCTTTGCCACAGCAGGCATCAAGCCACCGTGTAAGCATACGTCTCCTGCTCGTTCTTTTTCCAGTTTTCATATGCCACACTCCCACAGAGGCATGACATGCATGCGATAGCTGCTGTCGAATACCGAATCGAAAGGGGCAATGTTGACTGACGGAAAACTCAAACCAAACAGTCACCATACAACCCTTCCGAAAAGAAATCGACCGTGTGATCGCCACTTATATCATGGACGACGCGCCCCGGCAGCTCAACCTCTCCGACAAGGAGCAAAAAGCCGTACTTCAAGCGCTTGCACACACGACGCACCCGTCCGCATTCCGCATCATCATCACGCCTATCGAATCCGCGCTGCGTCGTCAGGCGCACCCCAACTTCATCCGCTGGTCCATCTGCAACGGCAACCCGGCGCGCGTCTTCTTCGCACGGGGGCTTGGTGTCGCGCTCATCCTGATCAGCACCGTGGTCGCCATCGTGCTGGCTTTGTCCAACGCGGGCCGCGGCTACCGCGCCCTGGCGGCCATCGGCTGGGTGCTGGGCATCTCCACGCTGATTGCGGCGTACAAGGGTATGTGCGTGGTCCTGCACGGGCTGCACCACCGACATATTCGTCCGTGGGAGCTGTTCATGGCGGAGGAGGAGGATGGGGAAGAGGGCAAGGCGAAGCGGTCGTTTGATAGCTTCGGGTCCGGCAACAGCTATGAGGACGAGCCGTGGCTGGTCCGGTACCAGCAGCGCAACGTGATCCGCAAGATCTTTGATCGAGAGGTGTGGATCCAGGAGCCCATGCTTCGCCAGATTCAAGACACGATTGCGGTGCAGAGCATGTTGTGCGCCGTGGTGCTGTCGGCGATCCTGACGGCCATCTTTGTCGCCGTGCCTGGAGGGGACTTGTTTTGAGCATCTTGAATTTCTCACAGTGTCTTTCAGATATCTGCTATGTATGGTTCGTTAAAATGATCGATCTAATAACCGGATCGAGGAATGGGTCAAGACAACCTCAAGACTGTTTGCATCACTGCAGTGGATGACTCGAAAGCTTACCGTGTGAAAATGCGGGGTGGTCTTCCACTGTCCTTTCTGGGTTCGGACGTGCGGGAATCCCCGCCATTATGCCGCCGGCTTGTCGGTTGTCATCAAATCACCTTTCATTCCCCGTTCGATTCTGTCCCCGCTCTGGGGAAAACGTAAACCGATTTCGGTATTTTCGGCGCTGTGGAGTCGACGTACCTGCGCCGAGCCGAACCATTTCCCCACAGTCGCATGTCGGAGCATCAGGCATGTTCCCCTCCAGTGCAAGGCTTATGTATCATGACCTTCTTTTTTTATCGGCGGGTTTTTTCTTTTTTCTTTGGCTTACGCTACACTCTTTGTGGGTCGATGGTTGATGGACGGAACTGGCGGGCTCATGGGGCTATTCGGGGGCTTGTGCACAAAATACTGGAAGGGCGATTTGGAATTCTGTTTCTGTCGGTCTTGATTTTGGTTTGTACCGGAGTCGGAGTAGCTTTTGCTAAGTCGCCAGGATGGCATTGATGGTTACTGAAAGCTGTGGAGGAGCAACAGGAGGAGGAGGGATGGACGGCAGACAGCACAGTAGGGCTACAAAAATGGGCAATACGTAATGATCGTTCAAAGTGTGGTTTCACATATTACATGCCTTTGCTGGTTTCAGTAAACAAGCGGACGGCTAGTTGCACCGTTGCGCTGAGTGGTGTTACGTACATGTTCCCATCTGCCCGGGAGGGATCTACAATACAAGTACGGAACCGTTGTCGCGACGCTCAGGCTGACGAGAGATGGCACGGAAGACGGCGCAGACGAAGACTTGAGTAGCAGGCTCGGGTAATTGGAGGTCAGACCATGCTAGTGACCGTTTCAATCGTGGAATCCAGTCCTAAGTGAACATGCGATGACAATGGGACGCCTGCACCCTCCAGACGGAAGGATCATGATGTGCAGTGTCTCGGGCGAAAGGATTCACAATCGTCACGGTATTTGTTGGGGTTTTCGTAGACAACAGGGTTGGAATCGGCAGGACTAGGCCCGCAAGCCATGGGATGTTGATGTGGATCCTCTTCTTGTAGTAGCACCTTATCGATAACCCGTGCGGCCGTTTTTGTGGCCCACCTCTGACTACACAGTAGGTAGATCACCACCAAAGGCACCCGGGATATGATCTACAATGTAGTTTTCAGTATCCCTCCTCCTTTAAAAGGTCTCTGACAAGTCTGTCTCGCCCAAAAAAGCGCTCTCCGAATGGCTGCCCTCAAAGACACATTCATGCCTCCTTGAACCGCTCTTGTTGTTCTAACCTCAACCTACCCTTTTTCTCCGTGTTGTGAACAACAACAGATACAACATGTCGTCAGAGAGCAACCAAGCCGAAGCCGAGGCTATTGCTCCCCACCCGCAACACCCATCGTCGCGACCGCAAGCCGACCACCAACAACCCGAATCCCGCGACCCAGAGCTGAGGAATGACGGCCTACCATCGCAGACCGGCCAATTGACCACTCATCTCTCTCCGAACGCTGCGCTTACCACACCTACAACGCTTACCACACCTACAACGCCTACCATCACCAGCCCCGAGATTGCGACTGCGTCAACTCCTGTCACAGCCTTGACCTCCGCGACAACGTCACCCCCGTCAGCCAACCGCCAGCGCGCATCTACTTCTGGTCCAATCGAGCTCGACACTGCTTTGAGCCATCCGGGCTCTGTTCGCATCAATGTTGAGGGCGCATTCATCGTTGAGCACGGCAGCGCTTCGCCGCCACAGACACCAAGCGGAAGCAGCAGCCGCGGTGGTTCACCAAGTCGTCAAGAGTCGAAGGACATCAGACTACCGAACCACACTGCGATAGTGAGCCATATCGCTGTTGATGTATGGAAACACTTTCACAATTACTTCCCGTTGATATCCTATTGGACGCATTGTTAATGGTTGATACCTCGGATAGATCGGCGGTTCTCTGGCTAAACTGGTGTACTTCTCCCGCGAGCCTCACTCCACGGAACCAGGTGGACGCCTCAACTTCGTCAGCTTCGAAACCGACCACATTGATGATTGTCTCGAGTTCATGCGCGCCCTCAAGCGCAAACACCAAATGCTCAATGAGTCTAACATTGGCCCCGAGCTGTGCGTCATGGCTACGGGCGGTGGCGCATACAAGTTTTACGACATGATTCGCGACGTTTTGGAAGTCGATGTCATCCGGGAAGATGAAATGGAGTGTCTGATAATAGGTATGTCATTCATGCACTCTAGCATGGAAACTATTGCTAATAGGCATAACTACAGGACTCGACTTCTTCATCACTGAAATCCCCCGCGAAGTCTTTACCTACTCAGAAGCAGACCCAATGAACTTCGTCGATCCCTCTACCCACAGATATCCATACCTCCTGGTAAATATCGGGTCCGGAGTGTCGTTCTTAAAAGTAACAGGGCCTCGGGACTATCAACGTGTGGGCGGTACATCACTCGGTGGCGGCACGCTTTGGGGCCTACTAAGTCTCCTCACCGGAGCTCGTAGCTTCGATGAGATGCTAGATATGGCATCCAAGGGTGACAACAGTAAAGTCGACATGCTGGTCGGCGACATTTACGGCACCGACTATGGCAAGATCGGCCTCAAGAGCACTACAATTGCCAGCTCTTTCGGAAAGGTGTTCCGTTTGAAGCGACAAGCCGAGACGGAAGCCGAGGACAGCGGTGGACTTAGCCCGGTCGACGTTGACGAGGTGCTATCCAGCGCCGCCGAGGCCGGCGGCCCCTCTACATCATCAACAACTTTGCCTGGCAACAAGCATTTCTCGAGCGCCGACGTCTCGGTCTCCTTGCTGTACGCGATCAGTAACAACATTGGACAGCTCGCTTATCTGCAGAGCCAGATACACGAACTCAGCAACATCTACTTCGGCGGGTCCTTCATCAGGGGACACCCGCAGACCATGAACACGCTCAGCTACGCCATCAAGTTCTGGAGCAAGGGCGCCAAGCAGGCTTACTTCCTCAGACACGAGGGCTACCTAGGAGCCGTCGGCGCGTTCCTCAAGCGGCAGCCTCAGAATTGGGGCCGTAGGGGAAGCTTCGATCAGGCTACCGTCATGGAAGCGCGAATGAATGCTCGGACGAGAACGAGAGATGCTGACAATGAATAATATCGATGTTGTTACCGTCGGTTTGCCATGTCCAGTGTCTCGAATGGGAATTGAGGATAAAGAGGAAGAAAAGCGGATACCCCGTCATAGAGAGAAGGATGTAAAGGTTCTTATTCTGGTTCAATTGTTTTTAATATCTTCATCGCTGGCGTTGGATTTGTATCTCTATTTCTTGTTCGATGGGTGTTCTCAATCCAGATGATACACGGCGCAAGCGCAAGCTTTTGGTTTTTTGGGGGCAGCCTTTTTTGGTCATTATTGTATATTTTTTCTAGTATTTGTATCGTCAGCGCTCGACGTTGGGCGACCCATTTTGTTATGAGATACCTGGATAAGCTTTGGAAGCAGCGCAAATCTAGAGAAGAAACAGTCGCATTATTCCTAGTATTTTCGAAATGCTGCAACAACCTGAAAGCTCTAGTGAGTCCAACTGTTCATCAGAGCAAAATTTCAATGATTGCAGATGATAGAACGGGCGCATATATTGGAAACCATTGAAGAGAGAAAAAAAGAAATAATGTTGTGATATCTAGTGCCGAGATCAGCACAAGAGATGGATCACATGGTGAAGTTGCCTTCGCCTTGGATCGTTATAAGCCGCGCACTTTGCCGCCTCCGGAACTGTACCTCATCTTCACCTACACCTACACATCCACCGTCAAGACTTTGTATCTGATCTGATCAGAATCAAGCACATCGCCAATATAAAGACCCCGGCTCCTTCCAATGACATAAGCCCGTCCACCCCGCCATCCGTCGATGCAGACACTTCAAAGTCGTGGCGCTGCCCTTCCACATTCCATCGACGTCAGCTTCGCTATAGCCGTTGCCGTTGCCGCAGTCTTATATAGTCACAGTCGGCATGTGATTTCAGCTCCTGTCGTATCACTTCAAAACCCTTTTTTTGACGAAATGCCGGCCTCTACGTGTTTTCGACTTTTGACTTCGACTTGGACTTCGACTCCCGACTCCCGACTCCCGACTACCAACTATGCCAAAACCTCAATGGCTCGTCATCAATCGATCGATTTCGTTACGTTCGAAGAAGTTTAGGCCTTGACGACCTTCTTGACCTCCTCCTTAACGTTTTCCTTGACCTCCTCAGCAGCGGCGGGGAGGGTCTTGTTCTTTTGGGATTGTTGCCACATGAGGATACGGGAGACCTGAACGACACCGACGATGCCAAGGAAGAAGTTGACGGCGGCGAGACTGTGAGAAAACAAGAAGTTAGTTCTGGGTTGGGTAAAAGGGAGTAGGGCTGTTATATTGGGGGGAAGAAGGGATAGGTATGGACCAAGAGATGGACGTAAGAGATGGTATTGGTGGTGGTGATTGTTGTTGGGAATGGGATGACGTAAGTTTGTTGATAGGGTCGAAAACGAAGGGCGACGACAAGATGGAAGAAGGGAAACGCACAGGTAGTTCTTGGGCTTGATGATCAAGCACCAGCGGGTCCAGATGAGACCGGTGGCAGTCAGGGCGGCGTTCTGGGTGAGCGAGAGCTTCTCGGCCGGGCGCGCAAAGTCGGAGATACCTGCGAGGACGAGACCCCATTTCATGACAGGGGCCCTGTTGTTTTTTAAATGGACATGGATTAGCCTTTGCTCTTGCTCATTGGAACGCATCTTTGTCCGAATCTTTTTTTTTTTTTTCGATGTTGATCATTGCATCGTCGTTGTTGTTGTTACTGCTGCTGTTGCGCCGACTCCGAAAGGCCTAAAAGGTTCCTCAACAAAACAACATACCAGAAGTGCACCGTCTTGAAGCCGACCGGGCTGTTCCACATGCGCTTGAAGAAGGACTCTTGCGCTTGCTCCGAACTCGCTGTGCTCTGGAAGCGCTTGCCGCCATTGCGGGCGGCGTTGGAGGTGAAGAAGGTGTTGCGGAAAACGGGGCGCGCCGCGCGGAAGAAGTTGTTCATCGGGGCCATTGTGCCGGAGGGGACTTGCGACTCGACTCGAGGTGGGATGGTTTGGGGATGGAATGTCCGAATTGAGTCTCGACTTGGAGGAGGTTTGGACTTCTTAGGGCGCCGGGGCGAAAGTGGATTGGAGCTGAAAGTGGAGCTCCCAAAGTCCGATCTGAATTTCGGAGTCGGCGACTTAGTTAGTCAGGGACTGTGTATCAGTACAGAGCAAGCGGCATATTCAATGTTGTTCGTTAACAGCCCGCCCCGGACCATCTTATCGGTACATAACAGAATCTCATGCACGCACCTTGAAATGGTGCAAACTTGACGAGCGCGATGGTTTTGAAATCTTTGCACGGCACTTCTTCTCTGACCAATATTCTAAGGTGAAGATGCTGAAGGTTTTCGACGAGTCATCATTTCGTGCCCTGGGCAAAGAAACCGCTGTCTCTTGTTGAGGACTGCGGAGATAACATGGACTTTCTGTCTGTCAGCATTTTGTGGCTCGTGCACCGTTGGGGAAGCTCGGCTTTGTGCACCCTCCTCATGGAAACCTTTGTGCAAAGAGCTTTCTTATCCAGGCGGCTGTAATTGTGCATCTCAAATCCCAGGTGGAGCTTCTGGTCGGCAACCTCCCCCGCTTGCTTGCTTGTCGCAAAGGTGCCCCTGCCCATAGGACAACGACGACCACTCAATCGATACCCCCATCTGCCAATTCTTGCGCCTTTGTAATTTGAGATTGCCTTCATCGCAACCATGTCAGGCAGATTTGCTTTCAACAAAGGCTTGAAGGAGGTCCGCTTCCTGTTCTGCCAGACGGGCGAGCACAGCGCTGCCACAAGGTGAATGATCCCAGCCCTACGGATGGAGTCTCCCGTCAACGCAGCAGCGTGAATGACTCGAGCAATACCCGCCTCCGCTGATTTGATTAGATGAATGAGCCCCAGATTAACTTCAATTCTTGAATCCAGATCATTCCTCCTCCGAAACTACCCTGCCATGAAGAAGGATAACCCGGCGACACCGGTTTTGATTCGAGATGCGTCCGGCACGCTACCCAAGGTCTATGCGAGATTCGGTTGGTGGATCCAGACCATATGATATCACGCTCTACTCTTTGGTTTTGGTTCTAATGCTCGGTCTTTGCAGAGTTCGGTAAGGAGAAGAGTCAGTCGTTGGAAGGTAGGTTATGGCGTCCTTTTACATCTTATCTGGGCCGATGACTAACCCAGATGGTTTCTAGGTCTGTCCGACCAGCAAATCGAGGAGACGGTATCATCCCTCGTCAAGAACAACTCTTGAGCTGGGAAGTGAGAGGAGCCGTGAAGCATGTCTATGACACCAGCATCCTTGACGCTACATATAACCCGCTGTGGTGGCATAATGAAACCCGCAACCCCTTCGACGCAACCGATGGATGGGTACGATTGTTGAATTCATCGAGAAAGTTACCGCTTCAGTCGCCAAATTCTAGGCTCACAGGTCTTTAATGATATTATACTCTGAGATGAGGAATCGCAGTTATCATTGAGGCAATGCCCACCACCTTAGAGAAGCGATTTGGAAACACTTAATACAGCTCCGCAACTTTGCCGAACTTTCGCCCTATCTCAGGACAAACAGCTATGCAACAGAGATGCTTTGAGACTGTGTTGATACGGCCAAAGGGGGGTGCAACCAGGCGCTTGGTGACTGTATGTGAAGAAATCACAACTCACAAACAGGCAACTGGATTGGCACCCTGGCCTACTTGTCACAGTTCATGTTCCTTGACGAGCAAGCTGGCAGCGAAGTTGGGGACTCGATCAGAGCGCAAGTTGAAAAATGGTTCTGCGTTTGGATGCTTTTGTATGCATCTAGGTAGGTTTGAGGGAAAGTGATGCAAACAACATCAGCACTGGTCCGCAAAAGAGGCTGCAACCTTCCCAACTTTCAAAGCTGCCATAACTTTGGACAAGGAAAGGAGCTAGACCTTTCCCTCAAGAAGACATATTCAAGTGCCTGTTCTCGTATCCCCAAACTGTCTTATTTGTTCTCAGCTCCTATCCAACGACTGCAGCCAGTTAGAACAGCTGAAGCAGGTCGGTAGCACCGCTTTTGTCCCCTGACCGAATGTGCAAGCTGTGATGGGATGCCGTAGAGACGGGTTCGATGCACGCAAATGTACAATTGCGCCTACCCAGCCGTGATCGAATCAGAAGCCGACGACAGAAACACAGCTTTCCATTCGACAGGCTTCACACCCCCCAAAAAAGGCAAGTCAGGGGATGAGCAGATCATTTTTGGGCGACCTCCAGACCTCCTTGGCGCGTGAAGCTGCCCCGCGTAAAAAAGGCGAATTTTGGGGGGCGTGGATCATAAGTACCCCATGATATAGTGTAAGTATGGAGGCGCTTTTTTTTCCTTCTTTTTTTTTTTCCTCTCACGGCATGTGCTGAGACTACATCACCTCGACTTCGTCACAAGAACAGTTGTAATCGAGCTGGATTACCTCAGGAGCGTGCAAAGCATTCCGGCTGTGCCGAGCGAAAACTTGGAAGAGACAACCACAAGATTCCCCACAAACCCTTTGTTCCGCCTCGTTAGACGAAAAAAGAAAGATCATCACCCCTCCTTTCTATTCCGCCCTCAGCTGCCACCCCGCCTCGCCTCATATATCACAGTAAGACAGGGAGATCGAGCCCAGATTACAAAAACAACTTGTTCATCGACGATACTATCCGGTCAAGCTGTATCAATTTTATCCATCGAGCCCAGGAGCGCAAAGATGCCCAGGATCTTTGGGCGCCGGTCAACCTCTCTGAAGCTGATGAGCCCTCCAGACTCTATGCCTCTCTCAGAACAAGAGCATCACAATTCCTCAGACAATCACCATGATTCGGCTTACTCCTCGCTGCTGGATCCCATGGTGCGCGCAATGGAGCCGCCAGAACACCGCCGGACCAAATCCACACCAAGCGGATGGATGCAAGGCTTTGCAACTTCTGGACAAGACGTCTCACACCGGACGTGGTTGAGTGCCGCCGAAAGACGCTCCTCTTCGACTGGCGAGCGTCCATCTCCTCGGAAGCTGGTCAAAGACCCCAACGGCTCCGGCCGGCCGTCATTCTCCGTGGAGCTTTCGGATAGTGACGGGGAGAAGGAGAAGGGTGTCCTACGACGACAGCTTGCCAGACTGAGGAGCCTCTACCGACGAGAGAAGTCAGAACCCTGAGGAGGACTGCTGATCTCCCTCAGCTTGCTGCTGACTTGTGATGTTCATTCAAAGTCATGATGTTGGCGCCAGGGAGAACGGATCACAACAACTTCAAACTTGTGGTTGGTTGTTCGGAGGATTTCCGTCTATGGGGAGGAGAGTTACAGTAGGCGCATTTTGCTTGAAGACCCGCTCCGCCGACACCAACACCGACCCGCTTTTCCTTGGCAGCCACTACCATTCCTACGATCACAACTCTCATCGGCTATCGGTTCATGGAAGTCTTTTTATGCCATGACTAATCTAACAAAACCTCACCGGATGGACAAATCGACATCCGAAACTTCCCTAGAACACTTCCTTCAACGCGAAAAGTAGACTTCACGGTTTAGTATCCTATCCTTTCCCGAGGACGCTCACTGAAGGCCACACATTCACAGCCCTTTCTCATCCTTTGAAAGCTTCTAATTTTGGGACAAACGACGAGTTCTTCCGGGTCAACTTTCAGCGGAGTCGGATCTCAAAAGCACACTCTTGCAGCCCCATGATGACGGCCTGGGCTTCTAACCTCCGCCCTCAGGTCACTACATCTTGTCTCGTTCTTGGGGCAGTGGGTGTATCCCTGGGGTTGAGTGTCCGCATGCTGATGAGCCAAAACTCGACCAAGAAGCCAATAATAATCCCATCACCAAGAGCCACCCACCTCCCACAGTTGCCCAAAGAAGAAACCTCCTCACTTCCATACCCCCCAGATGCTCTACCAGGTGCAAGGGACGTTGAGACCCCATATGGAATCATCAAGGTGTTCGAATGGGGGCCTGAAGACGGCGAGAAGGTTCTTCTATTACACGGCATCAGCACACCATGTTTGAGCTTGGGAATCCTTGGAGAGGCGCTCGTGGAAAAAGGTTACAGAGTCATGCTGTTTGACTTTTTCGGGCGCGGTTATTCCGATACTCCAACAGACATCCCCTTTGACATCCGGCTTTACTCGACTCAGATCTTCCTGGCTTTGGCATCTTCAAAACTGCCCTGGACCGGCGACAATGGATTCCACATGATTGGTTATTCCCTAGGCGGAGGCATCGCCGTCTCGTTCGCCAGATACTACTCGCACATGATCCGGTCCTTGGTACTCGTGGCAAGCGCAGGACTGATCCGGTCTGAACACGTGAGCCGAAGGAGCAGGATCCTTTACTCCGAAGGCCTGCTTCCCGAGAGGCTGCTCCGGTGGCTCATACGCCGACGGATCACTCCCCAGCCAGCGACAACGACATCTGAAGCCAAACTGGCCAGCGAAGTCGTGGCCGCCACCAGCAACAGCGAACAGTCCACCCAGAAGCATCACAAAAACAGCGACGCCAGCGGCGGGGACTCATTTGACAACGCGGTTCTCTCGCCGCACAGGCCCAATAGCACAGTTTCCTCGGTGATGGCCTGGCAGGTCCAGCACCAGCAGGGATTCCTCACGGCTTTTATGAGCAGCATTCGGCATGCGCCCATTTACGAACAGCGGGATGACTGGCTAAAGCTCGGTCAGCTTTTGGCTGCTAGGCGAAAGACTTCTTCTCCTGGTGCCGATGAGGGAGCCGGGGCAGAACCGTTGCCGGGACTTTTGGGTGGAAAAGTCTTGCTGATTCTTGGCTCAACGGATCCGGTCATTGTCAAGGAGGAACTGATACACGACGCCACGTCAGTGTTGGGAGAAGATGGATTTAAGGCTGTTGTAATGGATGGTGGTCATGAGATCGTTATGACGAAGGGAAAAGAGGTGGCGGGCTTGGCGGCAGGTTTTTGGTTATCGAGTTAGATAACTTGGGCGCAAGGGAACTACCATTGTATATGATGATATGATACGTAGGATATATGACATGCTGGATGTGATTGCAGATTGTAAGAATTATAAGTTGTCGTGTTTCATCGTGCGGGTAAAAAGAAACTGGTTGGAGCTGATGCAGTGGAACGACCTGACCGAGGGGACTTACTGGCCTATGTTGGATCCATGTCCGCGGGTGACACCTGCAGGAAGTAGAAGTGCCCTGAAAGGCCACGCTAGGTTGCTAATTCAGCGGCTGTCAGGCGGTTTCTCAGCGCGCACTTGCTTTGCATGGATCCAGCTGCCCAAAGCAGCCTGGTACAGGGGGGTGTATTGGTCGATCCTAGCTGCCGTGCAACCACAAACCCCACCAAGGCTGATAGCCTTTCAGGTTGGAGGAAATTTCCCAAACAACAACCTCCAAAACAATTTGCAGCCTTCATCAAACAACACCACTTCAAGCTTGGTACAGCCAGTTTGCAACTCGACAACGGTTGAATCTGACATATAACAAATCGGAATCATATCAGGCACCATAACAACCCCAAATCACCAAACATCAGAAACCAAGCCGTCACAATGGCCGCTACAGTTCCAGCTCCCTCGCTGAGCTTCTCGCGACCAACCTTCGCCAAGCTCTCGCCTCACCCGTACCTTCTCACGAACCTCACCGACCCCGAAAACCCCTGCCGTACCAACGGCCGCGCCCCGCACGAGGCTCGCCCCGTTCACATCCACACCTCCTCGCTCGCCCACGCCAACGGTAGCGCACTCGTCCGCACCGGCGACACCACGGTCGTCTGCGGCGTGCGCGCCGAGATCCTTCCCGTCACCAACATCCCCCAGTACCGGCCGCGGGAGCTTTCATACGGCGAAGAAGATAATGACGACAGCGCCGATGTCGATGAGCTAAAGGACTACGACCTCCTGGTCCCCAACATCGAGCTAGCCACCGGCTGCGCGCCGCAGTTCCTCCCCGGCGTGCCACCCACGACGCTGGCGCAGACGCTCAGCACGCGCATCTACTCGCTTCTGCACAGCTGCAAAGTAGTGGATCCCAAGGGCTTGAGGGTGTGGTACACTCCGCCTAAGGAGACCAGGGAGGAGGGCGCGATGGAGGTGGATGAGGCACAGGAAGAGGAAGAAGAAGAGGAGGAAAGGAAACCGGAGCTCAAGGCCTACTGGGTCCTCTACATCGACCTACTGTTCGTCTCCTTCGACGGAAACCCCTTCGACGCAGCCTGGACAGCTGTCATGGCGGCGCTGCGCGACACGAAGCTGCCGCAGGCGCGGTGGGATCCGGATCGCGAGGCGGTGGTGTGCTCGCGGAGCGAGGAGGCGAAGATGGCGCTAGGTGTGCGTGGACTGCCGGTTGCCTGCACTGCGACGGTGTTCCTGGAGAAGGAGCATGGAGAGGATTCGGGCACCTCGGCAGAGAGGAAAAGCAGGCACTGGATCTTGCTGGATCCGGATAGGTTGGAGGAGAGCTTGTGCAAGGAGACGGTCACCGTGGTGGTGGACTGCAGTGGGGAAGAGACGAAGGTGAAGAGCATTGAGAAGCATGGCGGTACGGTGATTGGAAGAGAGCTGATGAGGGGGTTCATTGGTGTTGCTGAGGGGAGGTGGCAGGAGGTGAAGGAGGCGTCGAAGTAGAGTGTCGGTCTATGGCAGACAGGCATCTCGGGCTTGTCCTTTTCACGAGTTTTCACATGGACGAGCGTCGAAATGAGAAGAGCAATGTAACGGATTTGATACCCTAGGATGTACGGTTGGACAAATGCACGGTCAGAGTGGTCTCCACTATCACCATCGGTCTTGAAACAACTTATAATACCTCGATAGCTGGTTTGTCACCAACACGATGTTCTACCAACATGATCATGAAGGCAGACGTACGTAAAGTTAAAGGCAATGTCAGGGGCGGCGAAAAAGTGAAAACGACAACATCAAAACGAACGCGCCTGTTCAGCAAACCATGGGCAGCAAGGAAAGTGGAAGAGAGCATATCCAGGGCGGTCAGGACAGTGGGTTCAGGGGTTGGATACCCTCTTTCCTGTTGCTATCAAGGGAATATCTCTTGACTGGATGCAGAAGGGCCATGGCTGTTCCTTCCTTGAGATCCCAACCCTGAGGAAGGAACGGCACTCTGACAAAGTGAGTACCTCAATGGCCACTGCAATTCATGAAATATCATGCAATTGTAGTGGAGGTAGGTGAGGTTTAACCGGCCGCACCTTCCGTTTTCCAAATGACGATGCAGCCAGTGGTGAAAAGTTTTACTCTTCTGATATTGAGCCCTTCGCCCTTCTCGTCATTCTCTCTCCCTCCATCCACGCCTCGATTCACCCGTCTTGCAGCGTTTTGGAGGTTCACTCCAAAGAAGCCAACTATTCCAGCATACCTCCATTCCATGCCTGCGCTTGAGAGCCCAGCTGCCGTTCATTTTCAAGTCACGTCGATTCACGCCACCGTTTGTTAATACGTCAGATCCCTCTCAGCCGGCCATGTCCCCTCTGGCGACCTTCCACCCGTTTCCGAGGCTACCCTGGGAATTACGCAATGAGATCTGGAAGCAGTCTATCCGCCCACTTGGCCGCCCTGGAGCCCACATCTTTTGCTTGGACCTGCGGGGGCCGAAAGATGTTACGGCAAAGGAATGTGATATACAATGCCCTCGTATTCTTTCAGTGCCTTTACATCATGAGCGTCCGTGTCCGCCTTTGGACATCGGCGAGAAATTCATTCACATTTCAGTCCCGGCAAAGACCTTATCGTCCGGACCCGACGGTAATCCCTCAACGTATTTGGTCGATGGCGGACTTTGGACCGCCTGCAAAGAGTCACGGGCAGTGATGGAACATACGTTCAACCACCAGAAGTGGGATCCGATAAGGAAGGCATACCCAGCATACTGGAAACTTTGGAATGATACGCTCTTAGATCGTATGGACTTTGATATGCCTCCTCCTCCTCCTCTTTCACCTGGCAGTGACGACTCGTCTCCTTCTCCACCTCGACCTCCACGTTCGCCTCGCGAAAGGCCACCCACCCCCGTTGACCCCTACGGTGGAGAGCGTTCATATCATCCGATACCGGCAACGGCATTTTTCTGGTCATCACCTCCATTGCCCTGGCCGCCATCCTCTAGCGAGCTGGACAAAGCGGACCATTCCACAGGCCAGGCTCCGGCCTCCCCGCGTTATGTCACTGTGCTTCCAATGCAGGATCTCATCATAATTCGGCCCTCGAGCTGGACCCCACATATTCATGAGGGTTACTGGCAGGCGTTTGAACACGGGTTTCCATTTGGGGCGGAGAAATATGGCTTTCCTGGATTCTGCGGATGGAATGGTTTTGCCATTGAGTACGATCCAAGCTGGGGCGAAGAGCTGACAAAGGGCGCTACTTGGCGTAATGACTCTACGTGGCTTAATGATGGGTCCTTCAAGTTGCCTAACGGTACCGTTGGTATCATGGACATTATCTTCAATGCCGTTTCAAACCTTTCCGAGCATGAGCAGATCAAAACGATTTGGCTCATTGACTACCGACTCAAGCCTAAGCACAATACACCCGCAGCCATCGGAAGGCTGGACAGCAGCCAGAGGGTGTTTCATGGAGGTGATGGGTGCCAGTTTGTAGAAGTGTATCGCGAGTTTGTTGAAAGTGGCGGTCGTTATCTTGATGAGTATTACACCGAGGGCATTGATGGTGAAAACTCAGCCATGAGCCAAGGATCGTGCCATTGGTTTATTAAAGGGTTTGAGGTTTGCATGTTTGGAGATCTCTACGACAGCGACGAATCAGTCGATTCAAGTTACTCGAGGTATCCTCCGCATATTGGCCTACTGGCCTGCCTGCCCTAAGCTTGTATAGCGGCAGTGGACACTTCAAGGCTTGTGGAATCTAACGGGGGATTGCTATATCTTTTCTTGGCTGGTCTCTCTTCACTTGATCTTTCGTTATACATTATGCATCTGGCATGGGGTTCCTTGCGGGTTTCTGAAAACTTGGCTGGTTTAATGTAATCACATGTTGGTCATCCCAATTCCTTTCTTTCATATTTCCTAGTTGACCTCTTTCACAAATACTCAGTAGTGTATGGTAGGTTTTGACAAACATAACACAGAGCACAAGATCAAGCGATGAGTAGTTGGAAATGAAAGGAAGCAAAGTGTATGGGGTCAGGCGCTGCGCTGTGTGTGATGTGAGCAGAATAGATTAGTCGTCTTTGGAATTCAGAATCCCGGTGGTCGGGATTCTATCCACTGGTCTGGGCCCAAAGGGCGACATTACATTGCGGGCTCTATGTCAATTGGATGTTTAACCTCGGTGTTTCGCAGTTGTAGCTTTTGCGTCACGAAGGAGTCAGGCTGTTTTGACACTCGATGGAAGAGGAATTGGTGAAATACTAGCCGCTGAGGCGGTTATGAAGGTTCAAGAAGAATGGGCTCTCACATAGGTTACAGTCATTGTCATGTGTGATTTCCTATATGGATTGTGCGCTTCACGCAGCCAAATAGCCCCCCCCAAGTGGCATGAAGCCCGGAACTTATAATGCATACTAACGCTGTTTAACTGAGCTGCAATATGATAACGGCGGTGATCATTTTAGGCACAGCCTCGTGGCCAAAAGTAGTGAGAAATGCAATTGGAACGCGAGTTAAAACCGTATAGCGATGGAATAGCTCAATAATGTGTCGGTATAATCTAGTTCGTTGACTACCTCTACATTGACATCCGCGACCAAGAATGATGGGTAGCAATGACCTCTCCAAAGTGACTGTGTCGCTAGAACCAAAGTTCAGGTCATTCTTGTCCGTTTCGTTCAGTTCCTTCTCCTCTCATCTGCGACTGTGCAGTGCCTTCTTAATAAAACGAAATACGAGCAAGGCGGGCAGGTGGGGGATATCTGGTGCACCTTCCATCACAAACTGAACGGCAAGTATGGCAGTAGTTCGATGCTAAAGAATTTTTTTTTCCAGCCAGTCCTTTGTTTCCATTACTCCATCATCCTCCCCATTGCCCTCTCTCCTCTTCATCCCCTTCCCCCCATCCACGCTTTCAAATTTCTTCTCAGCGTCGGCGTTTCTGTGAGGCTCATATCCACAGGGCCGGGCTGCCGATTCAACAAGCCCTCCCTTCATACTTGGGCGTAAGTGTCCAACAATCGTACTCACCTTGAATTCACATCGATTTACCATTTGTTAGAGATATTATTTCAGGATGTCAGATCACTCGCAACTGCCCGGCGTCACCACGGGGCCTCTGACCACATTCCACCCGTTTCCCAAGTTACCCTGGGAGCTTCGTCACGACATTTGGGACCTTGTTATCCGACCACTTAACCGCCCCGGAGTTCATATCTTCTGCATAGAAGAGAGGGAGTTGGAAGATTCTGAACCCAAAGAATGCGACGTGATCTGCGGCCCAATCCCTTTGGAATCTGGCGATTCCAATCTTCACATCAGAGTTCCGGCTGCAACCATGTCATCCGGACCTGCTGGTAACCTGTCCACATATATGATTGATGGTGGACTTTGGACTGCCTGCAAGGAATCACGAGCGGTAATGGAAAGGGTGTTCAGGCACCAGATGTGGGATCCCAAGAGGAGGGCCTACCTAGAGAAGTATTTGAATTCCTTTGAGATATACAGGTTCATCATTCCACAACTTCGAGCACTACAACACCTTACTCCAGCTCTCGAAGACCCATATAAAGGATTAGAACACGAAACCGATTTGATACCGGCCACAGGATTCTTTCTATCGGCGCCAGTTTCTTCTTCTCCGTCGTCATCCGCTCGAACGAACCAAGCAAACCGACCCAATCATCGAGTCACAACCTCCCCACATTATTTCAGTGTCTTTCCCCATCGAGATCTCTTCATAATGCGGCCTTCATCGTGGAAGATAAAAAACATGTGGTTTCAGCTCCAAGTTGGCTTCCCCTTTGGCTCAAAGATATGGGAATACTTCGGATTCGGTGGAAAACATGGTCTCGCATTTGAGTACGACCCGATCTGGGAGCAAGAGCCTGAAGCGACCGATGAGTATTCTCGTGATCATAGATTAAAGGTTCTCGGTTTTATGAGTATCTACGACAAAATGACTTCGACCATCCAACAACTCGTGGACTCGGACACTGTCTGGTTCATTGATTATTGACTCAAGCTTAAGGAGAATACACCAACAGACAAGAGAGAGCCAAGTGATAACCAAAAGGTGTTCTATGGGTACGATGGACGTCGATATGTCGAGGTGTATTCCAAGTACGTCGAGGGAGGTGGCGACCGTCTCCCATGGTTTTATACCGAGGGTCTTAAGGGTGAGGACTCGTCTTTCCGCGAAGGGTCTTGCCATTCTTTCATCGCAGTGATTGAATTTGGTTTAACCATGGAGTTCTTGAACGAATTGTCGGAAAACGAATGGGGTGATCAAGAAAAGCACGGCCCAGCATTGGGACTTCTTGCTTGCTTGCGTTAAGCCTAATCGAAATACGTCGACAATGGATTGTCATGAAGTGTCAAGCAGCTCTTGTACTTAGTAGATCTCGTTGGCATTGGTGTTTGTGGTCCTGCGTTATCTTGTTGCAACGAATTCCATTGTTGGGCTCTCACATGTACCTAGGTAGATCGACATGAACTCTTTGAGTAGTGAAACCAAAGTTTCCCTGTTTTATCCAGTTCCAAAAATGTCAGGTGACTACCACCGTCTCTTTCCCTTGCTTTATAGGATGGACGTGACGGGCACTTCTTCACCAACACAAGGGGCTAATAAAAGTGGTCATTGGCGATGTATCTGATGTGGATAATTACACTTATCAATCGATTTTCAACAGCGGTTGGAGCATGAGATGAGCACTTAGGTGATGGGACACTGAACAACAATCTCAGTCTCGATATGTTTTCAGTTAACAAAAATATGTGTTGGCTCTCTGACAAGCACTGGGTGATAACCACTTCAGTCCCATCTGCCTGGCCATTTGTGTGCTGTCCAGACCTGCCAAACCTTTCAGCGAAATCTCAGCAACTCATCGGATTACAGAAAGTCAAGCGAGAGATATATTTTCAGTCACATCGCAAACACCGAAAACCTTTCCCCGCCGAGATGTCTTTGCCGTTTGGTATTCTCGCAGACGACGTCTAGAGCCTTCCATCTCCTTCAATCCACAAAACCACCACTGTTTGTTGTCTCCTTAAGTTGCCCAAAATTCATAATATATCTAGTCACCAGCTCGCTGACATCCAAGCCTCAACAGCACCCCCTCATCATTTTTCTCACCTTCGCCTCGCAATCTCCAACTCACATATAACTCCCAAAGAAAACAACATAAACCTTGGAAGAGCTCAAGATGTCACTAGATAATCTTGATCTGCTACAACCAAGGGCCACAACCCCCGCCGACGAATATCACTGGTACCTTCTCTACCAGCTGATACGAGGCCTAGAGTGGCTCAAGCTGAAAGTTCAACAAAGCGGCGACGACGACGACGACAACGACGACGATGAGATGCGCATGCAGCAGCAGCAGCTGTTGACAAGCGAAGCAAGAGAAAGCCTGAAAGAACTCTTGGACAAGGAAATCGAAGAGGTCAACACCGACAACCTCCTCTACGCAGAAAACCTGAAACACGAAGACCAGGCAAACAAGTTCCCGCAGGAGGAGGAGTCCTATCCGCATGATCTCCGCTTGGGCAAGTTCCGGCAGCAGGAGGGGTATGAGGAGCGTCTGGAGAGATTCCGGCGTGAGTGGACGGAAGAGGCGGCGCTGGAGAGAATCGCGGAATTGTTTGGCGTGTGGAGCGACGTGAGGAAGAAGCTGGGGCTTACGACGGAAAAGGATATGAGGGCTGTCAGGGAGCATATGCAGAAGACGGTGGCGGATAGAGAGGCTGTCAGGTTTAAGCCGACTTATTCGCTCTATCCAAAGGTTCAGGTTCTGGAGGAGAGGAAAGGGAAGTGATGGAGAAGAGATCCTCACCAAAGTAACTGCACTGCGTCGTACGTACCTCTACCTCTAGTATGACCTAGAGGTACGTAGCTCTACTTATCAGAGAGGGAGGCGTGTCACTGGTAGCCGCGTCGCGATATCAAGTGGCCCTGCGTGACGAACAGTGAGACTCACTTGCAACAGAAGGGAGAGATAACTTTTGTGCTTTTGGTCAAAGGACGTTTGGGTTAGTAGCGTAGTGGTTGGGGCGTTTGATGTAAATTGGTCAGATGATGAAGTAGTAAGCGGAACAATTGCACTTGAAGAACTAAGAGGAATACTTGATCCGTCCGTCATATTATACCTGCGTGGACTGTAGTCTAATGTACTGGTATCCTTCGTCAGCCATTGATTTCCTAACGCTCAATGAACTAACTTGAAAAGAAACAAATATTTCTAGCTCAGACATCAACCTCGGTAACCCGACCCTTCCCCTTCCCCTTCCCCTCCCATAATCCCTGCCTCAACCCTCCCAAACCAGAAACCAGAACTTGAACTCCTCTACGGCTCCGACTGCGCAGCCGCTAGATTGCTCTTCTCAAAACACAAGATAGTGGGCGGCTCCGACAAGTTCAAGCTGGGGCCAATCTCCTTCAGCATAGCATGGGCGAGACACTCGTTGTCGTAGTAGCGCATGTCGTCCATGGATGCGAACTCGATGTACGAGGCGACCGTGTAGTCGCGGGCCTTTTGGTCGGGAAGGGTCTTGCCGGCCGTCAGTTGCAGAATGTAGGGCTTGCCGTCCTTTTGGGAGGCGAGCTGGTCAGTTAGCAGAGTGAGAATAGTAGAGGTAGGTTGACTTTGCGTTTGCTTGGCCGGCGGGGGGTTGAGATGGATTGGAGCAGCTGAGGACGGGCAGGAAAGGGAACTGGAAAGAATGAACTGAAAGGGAAAAGAGAGAGAAGGGGGACAGAGAGAGAGAGAGAGAGAGAGAGAGAGAGAGAGAGAGAGAGAGAGAGAGAGAGAGAGAGAGAGAGAGAGGAGGAGGAGGGAGG